TGCCTGGTGTTCAAGAAACCGGTACTAGCAAAGACAAAGAACGACTGTACGATGTAATACCAGGTAAAAGGTCTATTCCCGAGCACTACCAAATACCAAACGATGTACCAGTATCCAAACGACATCAAAATGGAACACCAAAGAGCGCGGACGGCTTTAAAGATGAACCAGGTAAAAGGTCTATTCCCGAGCACTACCAAATACCAAACGATGTACCAGTATCCAAACGACATCAACATGGAACACCAAAGAGCGCGGACGGCTCTAAAGAGAGTCATTATATGGCCTTAAAAAACGATAATGTCCTCAAAAACGACCATTATCAGAAACCTAAAGACATCGGTGTACAACGTTTTGGTTATGAAAACCTTGGTAAGGATGACGATGAGACAAACGCCTAAAAGCAGAATTGTATTTACATTCAGAGGAGCTAAACGTAGTGGCAGTGACAGAGAAAGTAAATACTTTCCTATTGGTATGAACGGACGTGAGCCGCTATGGCGTTAATTGACCCTATCGTTATTAGTTATGTAAGGTTTTGACAGTTATAATGTATTCATCTCAGCTCTCGAACTATCAACTTTTATTTTTATATCTTACTTTGTTCATCTATCGATTGATTTTTTACCTTTAACCCCCAGAGGTTGTGCGACCGCATCGGTTGGGGAATACGTTCCCAATTTTTCCCAGTGGGTTGTTAGGTTTTAGTATCAGGCGGCGCACGTGAATACTTTAGCCTGAGTAACTTTATTTAGGAATATTTGTATACCATTCTTTAGTAATGATATTGAGCTCTGTATGTTATTTGGACGGCATTTAACACTCAGGGTCCACAGTTCGAGTTGCACACCCATTCCCGTCTCTTAGTCGTGAACATAAATAGGAAGATAGGATATTCTCTGCAGCCAAAACCCAAGGCATTTCTAAGCACCCTAAATTGTAGTATAACACATGTTATAACAGACAACGCCAGTATGTAATCGAGTATGGAATTTGCTTTTCTCAAACTCATTAATAATTCATAAAGAAAATTCAAAGGAAATTAATATTTAATGAGTGTTTGGATATCAGATGAAAAACTGCTCATTTTTGCATCCTTAATTTCTCCTTCAAAAATGATTTTGTTTGAGAAGAAATATCAAACATTCGACACAGTGTTTCATCACCATATGAAACACCTCGAAGTTCGTCAAAAATACTCCGCTGCGCGTCGTATTTTCAACTCTCTTCTCGGTGTTTCATCTGGTGATGAAACACTGCATCTCATGTTTGATATATTACATCAAAGACTNGCTTTGCCTTGTCTTCAGTTTTGTCACGTCCGAGATTAACAGCAGCCATCTTATAAACAACCCCAGAAACAATAACTTTGGGAACAAAGTTATATCAAAATTGGTTTTAATCTACATTCATAAAGAGAACGGGCCCGGATATGTAAAAGATAGGTAAGTTGTCGACAAAATGTCAGCTTCAGAAAAAAATGCAAACAATAATAATAATGCCTCGCAGGGATCAGCGATTACTGCGAATAGCATGGCGTTTTCGTAATCAATCAACTATCATTTGAAACTAACAACGTAAGTGGCAAATTGGAATCTGAGAGCCCTACAGAGTCCAGCTTTTATCAAAAGCCCCAACAAGATGGGGGCAACTAATTACGGTTAACAACTGGACGTTTTTCAGCGCTCACGTCAACCGGAAATGTACTTTTTGCACATTTAAGCCTTAATTTTGAACAAACTTTTAGGCAAATAGTCTCTATGAGAATAAAGATACTTAGCCATACAAATTTGGTGGCGTCAAGGTATATTAAAAGCGAAAAAAGCTCATTTCCGGTTGACGTGCGTCGCTAGAAAACGTTGCTGCTTAACCTGCCTATTTTCTACCATTCGCCACTTGAGAAACGAGAAGGAAACTGAGCCGAGTTAGCTTTTGCAAAGACTTGCGGGATCGCTACTGGGGACGCGCCGGTCAGTTATTGGCCAGTGTATTCTATGTCTCCAGTAACAGACCCAAAAGTCTTTGCGAAAGTTAATTTCTCATTTTTTAAGTGGTGAATGATGATTTACCGTACTCTTGTTGCCGACACGTCACTGTAAACGAGATTCTTTTATATGTTTAAAATTTGGTTGTCAAAAAATACATAATTTTCACATTTTTCTACCACTTTTCTTGTGTCATCAATTACTAATGATCACAGAAAAGAATATTTTTTTACCTATACCCTTTAAGTGATCGTTATTTTATAAACTTTTAGTGCGATTTTGTCAATTTAAAATTTGCCGCGATTGGAAAACATTACTACAAATAAGATGGGAATCAATTGTGCCAGTAAAGCTTAATATTATTTCACATAATTTGTGATTTCCCATTAAAAAATAATTTCTAACCAAACCATCAAGCATTCAATTACCTAGTGAGTTAGGAAGATTTCTTAAGATCATTTAATAGTTTAGCTAATATGGCGTACGTATCTCTTCCATTTTTCAGTCGAGACTCCGCGTACTGGATAAGACTTGCCTGCAGGCTCAACACTCTCTGTCTGTTGTACCGACTCAACTGTAAGACGCAAAAGTTATCATCAGCGAAATGAAACTGTGTTTGCTATATTTTAAGTTATTGTTTTGCTTGTTTTTTATGATTTTACCCCTGGTGGGTGGGGTAACCCGCCTGTCCATATAATCTCTCATTGTAATTTGATCACGTTTCCACGATAAGTGGGGTGACCCGCTACATTTTACGTCACCGATCTGGGGTCCTCCACTTTCATATAAACAGGTCCTAATTCTTCTTTTATTTGTCACGAGTATGGTGTATTTAACCCTTCAAGTCCCGATAGTGACCAATATCACTTTTCTCATAACAATATGCAGTAATTGTCAAGAGATACAGTTATGAGAATTAACAAATGATCACCAAAGAGAAAATACCTTGATCTGTTATTAAATTCTCTCAACTGATTCTTAAAGGAAATGTATGGAGATCAGTGTGGAGAATTTGTATGTTGATATTGGGACTGGCTAAGTTTCGTAATAGCTAAATTTAGACTTGGATAAATATAGCTTGTTCCTCCAAAATTTAGAGTCGACAGAACGCTTAGAATGAGAGAATGCTATAGAATAAGGCGTAGTATTCAAGGCTGATGCGCTGCTAACAATTCCTTTTGCATGAAAGGTGCTAATAAACACTCTTCTTATTGAAACAGAGAGTGTTGTGCTTTTTAAAGTTAGGCGCGTAACTGCTGCACGATTTATCGCCCATTCAACTTTTTTTTCGAGATATAATCGAACTTATACTTCCAAGGAGTACATGCTGGAAGCGAAATTGTGTACAAGCTGGAAGGATCTGACACAACAGCAGAGCATTAATCCATTTATTCCGGCCCAGAAATACGAAAAAACTGCATAAGTTGTAGGATCCCCAGTCGGTTTCTCGCTGTTACAGATTTTTTAAAATGATTTACACTGAGTAGATACCCTCTGACCCCGCTTTAAGCCCCAACAGTAATACTAGAAGAAGAATCCAGATAAGTCTCTGAAGACAATGCGGAGCTTCAGCGCGCGCTATGCGAGAAATTGTGGTTGTCACATGGACGTCCGTACGACCGTCCGTAACGCATATTATTCTACAAAAGAACGAGAGCGTATTCTCATTTACATGTGTAAGCACAAGGGACTTACACGGGTGGCCACATCACAGTGAATTCATACCTGTCAAATTGTATATCCGCGGACCATTATTATCAAGATTATCAAGTGTGGGCGGTGTGGGTAGGAAATGTCTAATCGGTGGCAAACAGCCTGATTCAAAGCCAATCTTGATATCTTTTGCGTAATCCCTTGTTCATCTCAAACCATGCAGTAACGCTTTGCCTTGTCTTCAGTTTTGTCACGTCCGAGATTAACAGCAGCCATCTTATAAACAACCCCAGAAACAATAACTTTGGGAACAAAGTTATATCAAAATTGGTTTTAATCTACATTCATAAAGAGAACGGGCCCGGATATGTAAAAGATAGGTAAGTTGTCGACAAAATGTCAGCTTCAGAAAAAAATGCAAACAATAATAATAATAATAATGCCTCGCAGGGATCAGCGATTACTGCGAATAGCATGGCGTTTTCGTAATCAATCAACTATCATTTGAAACTAACAACGTAAGTGGCAAATTGGAATCTGAGAGCCCTATAGAGGCCAGCTTTTATCAAAAGCCCCAACAAGATGGGGGCAACTAATTACGGTTAACAACTGGACGTTTTTCAGCGCTCACGTCAACCGGAAATGTACTTTTTGCACATTTAAGCCTTAATTTTGAACAAACTTTTAGGCAAATAGTCTCTATGAGAATAAAGATACTTAGCCATACAAATTTGGTGGCGTCAAGGTATATTAAAAGAGAAAAAAGCTCATTTCCGGTTGACGTGCGTCGCTAGAAAACGTTGCTGCTTAACCTGCCTATTCACTACCATTCGCCACTTGAGAAACGAGAAGGAAACTGAGACGAGTTAGCTTTTGCAAAGACTTGCGGGATCGCTACTGGGGACGCGCCGGTCAGTTATTGGCCAGTGTATTCTATGTCTCCAGTAACAGTCCCAAAAGTCTTTGCGAAAGTTAATTTCTCATTTTTTAAGTGGTGAATGATGATTTACCGTACTCTTGTTGCCGACACGTCACTGTAAACGAGATTCTTTTATATGTTTAAAATTTGGTTGTCAAAAAATACATAATTTTCACATTTTTCTACCACTTTTCTTGTGTCATCAATTACTAATGATCACAGAAAAGAATATTTTTTTACCTATACCCTTTAAGTGATCGTTATTTTATAAACTTTTAGTGCGATTTTGTCAATTTAAAATTTGCCGCGATTGGAAAACATTACTACAAATAAGATGGGAATCAATTGTGCCAGTAAAGCTTAATATTATTTCACATAATTTGTGATTTCCCATTAAAAAATAATTTCTAACCAAACCATCAAGCATTCAATTACCTAGTGAGTTAGGAAGATTTCTTAAGATCATTTAATAGTTTAGCTAATATGGCGTACGTATCTCTTCCATTTTTCAGTCGAGACTCCGCGTACTGGATAAGACTTGCCTGCAGGCTCAACACTCTCTGTCTGTTGTACCGACTCAACTGTAAGACGCAAAAGTTATCATCAGCGAAATGAAGCCACCACACCTGGAGCCCCACTTATTAGTTTCAATAAATGGAAAAGCGGCTGTTATTAAAACCGCAGAAGCCAAGCCTTTATTTCTTAACAATGACCTCCCGTTCCACTCAGTGGTAGGCATAAATAGATTGTGCTCGGCAACTTTTGAGCAACTTTTAGCGTTTTGAGCAACTCTTTGTAGTACCAGCAACCTAGGGCAACTTTTGCCTTCCTTGGCAACTTTTGACCAACAAATTGATATAAAACCGAACCAAACCATAAAAGGTCGTTTCATTTCGAAGGATTTCATTAAAACTGGTTTTATCAAAACTGATTTTATGTTTTTTTTATGTTTTTATGTTTTTGTTTTTTTTTAACTGATTTTATTTCATAGTATTTATATTTGTCATATAACAATGCCTTTTGGCCTCTTTTAATGATTGTAAGAATATTTAATGAAAATGTTTAAATGGCAACAAATAAACAAACACGTTTTGAGTATTTATCTAAAACAAAACGATTCTAGAGAGCAAGCAACTTTTCTAAATTTTGGTGGCAACTTTTTGATATTTGAGCAACTTTAGAGCAACTTTTGGGTATATTGTGAAGCAACTTTTCCTGAATTTACTAGCAGAATCTATTCATGCCTACTCAGTGGCCACAATAATGATTTGCTGGTTCTAAAACAATGGAAAGGCGCATCAAACCGGATAAAGCCTTCGCTCCTTGGCCATCTTAAGAAAAAAGCCCGCGCGCTACACGCTCGGTCATTATTTTCAGAAAAGGTCAAGGAAGCGAAAGATGGCCTCTGCTGGCAGGGTGTGGTCGCCTCGCTTGAGCAACTGCGTTTTTGAGTGATGGACGTCGACCGGAAGTGGACTTTTTGCATCACTGGGCAGTGGGTTGGTTGAAAGTCTCAGGTAAATCGTCTTTATAACAGAAAAGAAAGTTAGCAATACAAATGTGTTTGCCTCAAGGCAAATAAAAAGGGAAAAGGCCTCACTTCCGGTTGACGTGCATCGCTCCGAAATGTCTTTGCTTAAGCTTCCTATTGTGACGATCCGGACCTTCAATTTATATGGAAACCACGCTTAACCCTTTAAGCACAAGAGTAGTCCACTTAATAGTTTGGGTCGACCTAGATAGGTATTAAGTTCGGCACATGTAAAGTTCGACGTTTGAACCGGGCCTTAGAAGTAACGTCTTCACTGCCGTCGCCATGAAGGTTGCTTAGGTTCCCTCTACCCGCCAATAACCTATTAGTTCTTCAATGCTTTCGGTGTCTTTTCACCATTTTATTAAACGCACTGAACCGCTACCCCGCAAATATAAGGAGATTCGAGCTCTCTGCACATGACTGCTCAACTCCGTCACAAAATGTTTACTAAACCTCACCTCTTTCTTAGAAACTTCAGAAATATTAGTGAAGGCTTCTTCAGCCTCTTCTTTAGCTTTCTGGAGCTGAAAAAACATATTAACATAACCAGACCAATGTTATATGCGGATTTTGACATATCAGAAAACAAAAAGAAAAAATGACTAAATAGACGCCACTGACAATTAAAAGAGAGAATGTAGAGAAACTTGGGTTTTCATAATAATCCTCGTTACGAAGCACTGCGAATTTAGAAATCCTAAAGAAAAGCTTTTACGCATATAGTATTCTTAACAGAGGCTTATTCGTCCACAGATATTAACTTTACATCGCGAATAATGCACTTACTGCTTCTTGATTCTTTGGTTTTGCTTTCTCCAGTGCTTTTGTAGCATTCTCAAATTCCACCATCTTGTAGGTTCGTCGGAAAAGCATCTCCTATAGTTGGAAACGGGATCAAAACAATTGCTGAGAGAAAACTCGGTTCTCTTCAGTGTTTCATAGAGTAAATAAGTACTCTAAAGTGAGTTCAAAAAACCTGATAATAAAGAATAAAGTTATTTAACAACGACGACACAATGGGTGGGAGCGGCGAAGGTACATAGACGAATAAAGTTCTAAGGTAAATCCTAAGGTGTTGTCATCATTCGTGGACATAACATCCAATGACTCCTAAAACAAAGGAAAAATAAAACGCCAAACGTTTTAATGCGAAATTCAGGAAACTTCACGAGGAAATAACAATGAAACAAGAAATGAAGTTGACTGATATACTTTGCCTCGACCCTGTGCGGCTTTTTTCCAGGCCTTCACGGTCAATGCATTTCGGTAACGTATCCGAGACGAACGGACCACGTGACCCGGAACGCACAAGCTAGGTAATAATAAGACCTAGGGACCAAGCTATTAAAGACGTACCTTCACACCATTAAGTGAACTTGAAAAGGTGCCAAAGTTTCTGCAAAATAACGTAAACGACCAGGTGACACGGTTACAAGAGAAAGACTTTAAGGAAGAGAAAAGAGAACAGTTTATGGCACAAGTACTCCTTATCATTAACTTGTTTTTTGGCTCTTCTTCTTTCGTGGTATTATTACTGAGGCAGAGAGGAATCTGGGTACAAGATTGTGGGAGAGACTCTGGAATGTCTAACACAAATCAATTTAATTTACGAAAAAATCTCGAAATTTAATTTACCCTTTTAATTCCTTTGTGCCGTTGTCGTCGATAGCAGATGCAGTCATTACCGCGCCACTAAAATCAGCCACAGCTAAAGCAACTCCTAAAATCACATTATTATTATTATTATTATTATTATTATTATTATTATTATTATTATTATTATTATTATTATTATTATTACAGAGTTTATTAAATGTAAGATTTTCTTCTTATTCCTGACATTGTACTTCCCCTTATCAAGCATCAGCAATAACTCACCTGCAAAATTCAATTACGCTAAAACCATATGTAGACTTTGTGGATAAATTTAGGTTTCTGGGAAACTGCCCACCTACCCCTCCCATAAGCTAGCATTAACACTTACTTCTAACTTAGGGCAAAATGATGACTTAGGGGAGGGGTAGGTGGGCAGTTTCCCAGAGACCTAAATTGATCTGACTTACTTGTCTCTCGTCACGCAACAACCGTCATTCGCTTGAAAGGAACACGTAACGAGCTCAAACAACGTTTGCGTAGATTAAGGCTTCACTTAAATATAATCGAATGGTCGATCACTTGATAGAACGTTATATATACAGCTCCACCGAAAAAAAAGACATCCGATGAGAGGTCGCAAAACTAATGATCTTGAGTGGTCAATTTTTTTCCCATTTCCAGTTGCCGTTTATTTATATTCGTTTCGTCCCTGGTACCTACATTTATCACACGGTAGACATCAGTAATGAATGAATTTAAAAACATCTCCACAATTTTGTCGTCACATCTAAACTTTGAGCGACCAGCAAATGTAAATATTACTTTCCGTTACTCAACTATTTTAATGAAGATTAATAATTTAACAAAAAGAACTGAAATTCCTTTTAGTAACGCTTTGAATGCTAAAAAAAGTTTGGTATACTTATGATGGTGCGAGCTTAATCGGGTGTCTAAGTACTGCTCATTGACAGCTCTTACAGATACCAGCTACTTAAAAGAGTTTTAATGATGGTGCGAGCTTGACTGGATGTCTAAGCATTGGTCATTGACAGCTCTCACAGATGCCAGCTACTAAAAGGGGTTTTAAAATCATTACATTTGACTTACGTTGCTGACTGTGCACCATTTTGATGAAGTTCTACAAGAAGAAATTTATGGAGAAAATAGCAGGGATAAAAATCACATCCACTGAAGACAACACATCCTGTAACTTTGTTCAAAGACTAATTACCAGAGGTAATTATTGATTACGGATCCGCGTTCGTCATTCATGGAAACGAAATCGAGTCGGAAGGAGTCCAGTTTCCTGGCCGAGATGCCCCGGATAAAATCAGTAGGGGTGGCCAATGGGCAGTCGCCTGCAATACCTCGAACATTTGTGGCTTTGTACCACAGGAACACCAAGATTAGGATGCGTTCCGACGAACGCGATAAGTGAGTGTTTCTTAGTGTTGTGGAAACCATTGTTGGTTGGGCATTGTGTTGCAGTGTGGGTATTGTTAGTGTCTTTTCAATCTTTTGTATTACGTTTTGGGGGATTGCACCAATCCGCCACACCAAAAAACAATTGCAATACAATTGTCTTCCCCTATAAGCTTTGTAAGAGCCTTTTACAAAAACCAGTCAAACAGTTACCAAACAGAGTGTAGTCCAACTGTAAAAATATTACTAGAGAGGAAAAGAACACAGATGCAAGTACCATAGGCTATTGTGCAGGAATTTTTTCAAAGGTGCAAGAACGCTAAAACACTCTTGGATTGTGGTGCTTGACAATAAAGAGAAGGGGACAGAAGCCGGAAAGAACCCAGGGGAGACAGCCCAGAAAACAGACATTTTCTCAGTGTTTTCCCCATTGGTCACATTTTTCTTCTCCTCAATCTTCCTCTGCTTTCAAAATTAGAGAATAGGACTGGATTATTGTGCTTTCAATAAGTGCTATCCTCCCACCCATACGTTCTTAGGGCTTTGTTCCATACCCCAACCCCCCCCAACCCCTCCCCCCCTCTCGTCATGAACGTAGGAACACCTGACAAAGAAACAACAACGTCTGCATGGGAGGTTACATAAATACAGGCCAATGGTAAAAAGAATCAGCTACTTTGCTAACAGAGGTTGGCTAATTTTCCCTAAATTAAACTGTTGATGTTATCATTTGGACACTAATATTTTTTTCTCACCCCATAAGTTTCTTTAGTCAAAGGTGTGTATTGCTCCACAAAATCTCTTTTCTTCTGAAATTCATCATCAAGATCCTAAAACAATAATAACAAGTACCAACAAACAAGTTTTTTGACATAACGACATTGTTTAATGAGGAACCTTCAAGAGGTTGTTGATGCGGTATGTACACGGGCACTGATAACTTCGGGAAATAAATTGGAAATATTACTTAAATCAAGAATAATAACCATACCTTGTGATTGTGATGCCTCAAGTCACTAACAGATTTGGACAAACTTTCCATCACACCTTTCTTGACTTTGGTTCTAACTGGAGGCTATTAAAAGAACAAGTTATTGACCATGCATAAACATAAAAGGAACTGCAACTCTTGAAAACAAATGAGTATAAACTACTGTAGTCAATAAGCTATCAAGATGAATAAGTTGCACTTTATGACAATCCATTTAGCCACCACATATATTACACATACTCATTACATCATACAATCTTCAGTGATAAAAGATTAACCAGAATGAAACACTGTTTTTCATACCAAGGTTCATCCAACACATGCCCAGCATACATGCACCAGAATAAGAGACAACAAGTCATGAAAGACTCCTTAGAAATTATATTTTAAAGCATAAGTCATGCTTTGTCATTTGTTTCTATCTTCACTTAAGAAGTTGTCCTACTATGTAGATGCAGTATTGGATCCCCAAACTAAACAATTCCTTGCATATATACAGTCAAACTACTCAGAGTGAAAAGAAAGTCACTTTTACAGCTTGCTATTCAGGCAAGCTGCAGTAACAATCCACACCAAAAATCCTTGAAACACCCATGCATTCTCCCTTCCCTCTGCAATGTTGAGATGTGATTGAAAAGTTGTGTGGCTACAACAACATTGCAAAAGGGAGGGAGGAAATGAAAGAGAGTAGAATTTTACAAAGTGTTTCAAGGTTTTTGTCTGAGATTGTAGCATGCACTAACCCAAAAGTCATTTCAACTAGCCTGAAAATTTGTTTTGATGAGCAGGATTGATAACTGTTCTTCAGCGATTAAAATCCCCCAAAAACCTTCAAATCATTTGCCTTCGGGCAAGTGAAGAACAGAATTCCCTAGCCTAATAGCAAAATCCACTAGCCCTGGGCTATCGGACACTATTTTCTTTGCACACTGCTACTTCACAGAAGCCATCTTGGAGATGGAGGAAATTTCTGTCCTTAGAAAGTTCAGTCAATAAATTGTAATAAATATTTATATTTTTATCATACCTCTTTTTAGGTACAATAAGGTGCAGAATAAATAATCATTGCAACAACACTCAAAACCAACAATGATTACTTTCAAAGTCATAACTCACATTTTCCTCTTTTAGAAATTTTTGCAGATCCTCATCTTTTGAGAAGGCAGGGTGTGCAATAACAAGTTGTAAAAATCTAAAGGACGATACCACAGAAATATGAGAATAATGCATGTGGCTGTGAGACATGCAACTTATATGATCAACCTAAAAACTGGAAGAACTTAAAAAAGAAAAAACTTTTAAGCTTTTCACAGATACGAACCACATGAGTCCGGTTTCCAAAATCTCACCTTTCCTCTTCATCCTTTGTAAAAATTTAAATGTGTTCATATGAGAGGGCGGGCTGGCTAGGTTCCCAAGACCTCGGTAAGCGGGCTAGAAATTTTGCCATGATATGAACACTTCAGCCCGGTTAACAGGATGAAAGTGGGATGAATTCTGGCGGTCCGGATGGCATCGTCTTGCATTTCCTGCTGTATTTTCCACATCATAAGCATCCCATTTAACTGCACTGATACAGCTTTAAGAGTTCCAGAAGCTATGATAGGTGCGAAATTTAAAATTTTTGTGTTTCATCATGCTTGCTCTGTGTCCCGGCAAGCCAAAACTCATCCCCAGGATCTTTGGCTTTTTCTCATCTCAGAAACCGGGCTGAAATTTCTCATATGAAACCAAGGCGAATTTCATCGACCACTGACCAGGCCAGCTTGGTTAGCCACGTGCATGTGAAGAGGCCAAAAGTCAACTGGTGGGTAAGACATGCTATGCACAGATTCCTGGCACAAGTACATGTACAAAAACTGCCAGGCAAGTACCACTACAAAAATAAATCGGGGACAGGGGCTAGGCTGACTGCCTGTAATGGTAGGGGTGGGGTGGCTGGGAAAAAGAAAGGAAATCTCCAGATTGAAGACATGTTGAACTTACTTCTCAAGATTACGACAGTCCCTTGAAAATTCATCAGCCACCATGTGTTTTGCATCTTTTCCTGAAAATAGGAAACAACAATTTACACATTCTTTGAGCTAGTATTAACAGGTTGGTTAGCCATTTCCTAAGGATGACTGCTACACACATGTTTGGCTGTATTTAGAGTGTTTCTTTCGGAGGAACACAGACTTCTCCTACCTAGCTGTTTCTTTGACCTGGCTTCAGCAGCATTGACTGTAGTGACAGGTTTTGGAGGTAACGGAGGAATCTGGATATGACAACAAAAGGTAACATTATATTATTAATAGTGCACACTAGAAATGAGTTCCACATCAACGAAAACGTGATCTGTGCAGAACCTTATGCTAAAGATGGATAAAATGATACTATTAATTACCTAAAGCATTCTACCGGTCAACTGAACTAGAAGAACTGCTTGATTGAAAATCATTGATAGGGAAACTCATAAGTGAATCCTTTTACACAGCAACACAGATTCAAATAATTCTTGATTGATCATTATTTTGGGAATGTGCAGCCTAGCCTAACCTTGCCTGTAAATTCAAGTTTTGCTTTGGGGTAATAAATTAATGTTAGTTAACTTACAACAACTCCATCAATGTTATTGTGTGCCATTAAACAGTGATACAGCCATTCTAAATCTTCATATTGTCGAAGGACTATCACTCCTTTTTCTTCTTCACTTCCAGTTCCTTCACCCTTTAAATTAAAATAGCAAAACGGTTGTTAACCCGTCAGCTCTAAAGACAGTGATTGCCCAGGGACAAGGCCAAGGCCTCAAACTAGCTCCCCAAGAAGAAACTGGAGATTTTACACTAAAATAATGTTCTTTTACTGAATAACTTTTCCAATCCTGATAATAAATAGTGTCTGGTTTTTTCTTGAAACACAGAAGACATGATTTTGACTGAAACACTGTCGCCTGAAAGCCAATTACCTTTGAGATGCAATCTTACAGGGAAAAATAAACACTTTTTATTGATCTGCTGGAGTGAATTTTAAACAAAGTATTAGAAGAAAAGTATAGAAGTATCTTGGAGAGCACCACTAACAATATTAATAATCAATATTGAACTAGCTATAGACCATCCATATAGAACAGCTTTGCTCTATAATTATTTCAGAGTTAAGCTGTTCGATATGAACATAAAGCCTAATAATCAAGTTTACAATAACAAGCAGTTATTTTCTTGTGGGTTTTATGAATAAATCATTTCAAGGTGGATAATCTCACTGGAAAATTAAGTAGTAATTTATATGGAAAAACTGTGAACAAGAACCCTGTCAACAAGTTGCAGAGAATATTAGAAACAAGAGGGCAACAACAACCTGGAACTGTGAATTCAGAATTCACATGGTATTTATTCTCTGCTTGATAACATCTGCTGGAATTTATACGAAAGCTAGATGCATTTAAACCAGCCTAGAGAGGCCTGCCCACCCTGCAATTGAAGGGGTGGACTAGTACATTCAAGGGACTGCTCTGTGAGCTGCCAATGGTGATCAGAATCTAATTTCTCCTAAGAATAGGAGTATTTAGTGAAAAATGAGGGCCATGAGAATAGAAAAAGTGATAATTAAGAATAAAAAGCCTCTTCTTTCTAACACCATGCCTCAATATGTGAAGAATAGTGGCGAGAGTAAGGATTAAAGATTTGGAGGCTAAAGGGGAGGGGAGGGGGCGGAAAGATCTCCGTGGTACGTGCGTAAAACAAGATGCGAAACAATGACATGCAAATACGAAAGCAATAACGATTACATGCAAATTTAATGTATGAGGTCTGAAAAGTTCAAATAACTTTCAATTTCTATGATGATTGAATTCCACCTAAACCGGAGCTGAGTTGTGTATCCCCCCTCAAACAAAATTGCTGAAATATCGATTGCATTGATCTTAATTTGCTGCAAACATGGCTAAACAGGACGCGCTTGCAGGAGATTAAAAGGCCTCGCATGTAGCTGAAGTTTGTACACTCACAGTGTTTGTTTGAATCGTAAATTTGACGATCTCGCCATCTTTGCTTGCGTCTAAAACCTTGACAGTCCAGCACAGTCCCTGCTCCGCTTCGCCATTGACACCGTTTTCCGCCTGAAATATATATAAATAAATTTAAGAAACGCTCAAGTCATCAATCAAAATCGCTATGATTTATTTCGGAGAAATCTCGCTTACCATTTGAAGTCATTAAATCATGAAAATTGCCCAGGATCTTCTGGTCATTTGATCCTGAAACTGAGCATCCAGGCCACGACATTTCATTACCTCAATATGAATCATAATTTGCTATTTCTACCGACCGCTGGATGAATCTTCCTGCCACTGCACAGGTTCCCCAAGCTCCTTCGGGAGCCGCCAAAGGTACGATTACATTGCGTAAACTGAATGAAGGAGTTTTCATTGAAATGTATAATGATCGTACATAGGGGTTCGAAATAAGGGCGAATTTAATTTAAAATTTTCACCCACGTTCAGTCTTTATTTCCAAAGTTCTCTTGTTGGGGGAGGAATTTGACGATGACCACTGTACAGGGCTTTAATTAAAGTAGGGACGTCAAGGATCAGGAAAGTATTAGAGACCTTAAGTGCAAACGGACGCAACAACTCCCTACATTGTTACATGTCGCACCCAACAATGTTAGGAGTTTTTGGCCAACAATGTTGCGTCCGTTTGCACGGGGCTTAACTTTACATTCGAATACAAGTAGGCAATCTTTCAAATTGCTCCTTCCACGCGCGCATGCCCAAAAGAAGACATTGGCGGAAAGAGTCGACTAGTTTTGCGAGAAAAATTGTGGTGGTGGTAAGTTTAAATGTTCTCAAATAAGTGACATAAATTAAAAGCCTTATGGCTTATCCTATTTTTTCTTGCTTATAACAAGGGTTATTAAATTGTAAAAGCACTATCTTTTTCCTTATACTCTTGTGTATCGCTGAAAATTGCAGCAAAATTGACGCGCAGGTTCGAGGGCAGTCTGAATACCCCCCAAAAAGAGCACAGCTGCTAATAAACAGGGTGGATAGTGGTCAAACAGTCCATAACTGATGGCATGTATACTGAGTGTTGTCCTAACTCTTTTTACGATTTACCACACAGGGTAATGTTACAAGCACTTCATTACATTAAATCTTCCCTTAATTTGGTATAGCGAATTAAAACATCAGGATGGTCGGTCAAAGAGGCCTCTTTAACGATAACCCGCCGTACAACGCGGCAATGTAGTCATCGTCTTAGGCGTTTTTTTTTTCGTCTTATTCCGCCGGCAAGTTCATTTATTGTGAAGTAGAGACGAGCAAGGATTCAAATTATAATTAATTTAAATTTGTTTTAATTTTTTACCTAAAAATCACGATCTGAGCATTTTAAAAACTTTACGCCCCAGAAAAAATAAAGGCAAAGAAGAGTCTGCACTTCCGTTTTTTAAAACTTGTAATTAGTTCCAGTTGTTCGAAGGTCGATTAGCGCTAACCCGGGGTTAAGTTTTGATCCGTTTTTTTTTTCTTTTATTCGAAAGCATTTCCTCGGATAATTTTATCTATTTTTTGGAGATCATCCAATCATCATATTGTAGAAAAAAATAATTAAACTGAATTTGCTTTTTAAGCTGTCAAATCTGAATTCTAATTTCGCACTAACCCTGGGTTATCTTAACCAAGCTTTGAACAACTCGGCCCTGTTTTTTAGTAGCCTGTTTGAAAAATTTCAGTCAAACCAAAGAATGTTGATTAACTTTTAAATTTTGAAAGGTAGAAATGAAAAAAATAGCTTTAAAGTACTTTGTTTTTTGCAGATTTCTCTTGTTTACGGCGGTCATCGTGAGCGCATTTGCGATACAAAATATATTTACCGCTAATATATGCGAGAGAGTATCCCGCTCGGTCCGAGAGGACACTTCAGGTGGTTAACGTATCAGCAGGCGAACCTAAATTAATAAAACTGAACGTTTTGCAAATAAAAACTTCCATTTACCAATTAAGTTTTGAAAGGATTTTCATTTGCTTGTTAAAACTTTACATCAAACTGTGAAGTACGCGCTTTTGAATATTCGCATATTAAATACGTATTTAAAAACATTTTAAGAGCGTTAAAATCATATGTTTTGATTAAAGCCCGTCCAGAATAAAACTTAAAGATTTGCGAACACTTTACAACACCTCAAGTTTTATTTTTTTCGTTCTTTCGTTCTTATAATTTACACATATTGATAAACTTTATATTTTCACCAAAGGAGATGACTACATAAACCGATATTTATATATTCACAACAAGATACTCATTATTGTTTTCTAATGTACACATCTTATCTTTTTCTTTTCAACTAGCATTGTTTTTCCACGTGTCAATATCTCCGTTATACTGAGCACGGATTGTATATCAGACGCTTTAACTGGTTTATATTGTAACGTAGGCCGTATCATTCTATTTAGTCTTCTTATATAGTCTTTTTACAGTAACACTTTTTTTTATAGTTTGTACATAGTTAAGGCTATGAATTACTTAGGAAAGGGCTCGCTCGCACAATCGTTTCCCTTTTTTATGAGTTCATGGTCAACTGCGAAGCGTGCTTCATTGTTCACTTTTGTCACGTTGTTCTTTGTTTTCATGCAATTTACGGACATGCTTTTTAAGGTCAAAATTCCGGCAGAAGCCTTTACCACATTCCTTACATGTAAATGGTTTCTTGTCATTGTGCGTGTGCATGTGAAATGTCAGATTGTACACTTGATGGAAAGCCTTGCCACAAATATGGCACTTGAAAGGCTTTTCTCCAGTATGAGTCAGTCTGTGATTTTTGTAGTTTCCTTTTTGATGGAATCCTTTGCCGCAAATGTCACAAACAAATGGTTTGTACCCGGCGTGAATACGAATGTGAGTGTTGAGAGTGGAGGATCTGTTAAAAGCTTTTCCGCAAATGTTACACTTATGAGGTTTTTCTTTCGTATGGATGATCTTGTGTCTGCAAAGCGTGCTTGCCTGCCTGAAGCCTTTGCCGCATATTTTACACTTGAACGGTCTTGCGCCTGTGTGTACTGGCATGTGACGCGTCAGGTTGTAATGTGCGTTGAAAACTTTGCCGCAAACTTCGCAGGTAAACGTTTTAGGTGCTCCGTTACGACGTTTGCGGCCGACGGAACTCACTACAGTACTCGGCATCTGAAGCGAAGAGGGTTTTGTGTTTTCGAGTCCGAGAAAACCACTTCCGGGAATAAAAATTCCCGCGCTTGGGTAACCGTCATCGCTTCGCGTTGGAGAAGGCACCAAGGCACCATCGAGGCTAACGGGACTGCAATTTCTAGAGTCGTAAGAGCATGGCGCTTCTTTATAGAATGGCTTGCCCACACCGATGTCGCAGTGGTTAGAATTAAACTGAAGGGAATTAAAAGAAAACGGGCTGAAAAAGCGTGCCTTCGGCGTCAGCTGTCCTTTTCCAGTTAAAAATTCTGGGTCTAGTGTAGCAAGATCCAACTTGATGGGCTGAAATATCTGCGTCGGTTCGATTTCCACTCGGATCGGCTCCCAAACGTTAGGCGGTGCCGTGGTCTCGTCAGAACCTGCTAGAAAAAAGAACGAGAAAGAGCAGTTTTAGATTTTTGCTGTCTCTATTTGCTTGCTAATGAATATTTAATGAAGTGTGGCAGTTTTGAATCTAAAAAACTCCAGTGTTTCAAGGCTTGGTTTTGCCCCAAATTTTCTCTGCAGTTCAAGAAAAATCACATTTCATACCAATTAACGAAACTCTTACAAGAATTCGCCGGCAAAAAGTTGAACTCACCTTTATCCCAAAGAACTGTGGTGGGACTACTCTTTTTCAGTTTAACAAGAAATGATCGAGGCATACTCGTTCAGTTGACCTTCAGTACAGTTATATTAGGCTCGGTTAATCACGCTGTCAGAACTTAAAAACAGTTTTACAAGATCTCCAACCAAATTTTCTCTCAGTTTCGACGATCACAAGCTCGAAAGAAAGGTTGTGGCTACCTTGTGTGCAAATCGCGCGCAAATCTTAATGGCACGAGGCTAGCGAGTGTGTCAGTGTATCAACTGGCTAATTTGTCGGACGCGTGCCGCATTTATTGCGCTCGTGTGCTCTTTTTACCTTTTGTGCGCATTATGTCAGCTGAAAAGAGGGCAATACAAACAAAAACACAAGGCAAGCTGTCCAACCGCGAACATTCAGCATTTCTGTCATTGGACAGAGAAAAGTTGTTCTCCCAAGGGAGGTCTCGGATTGACCAATCGTGTGCCATTCTGAGGGCACACTTAATCACTAGCCTGAACAATTGAGCCAAACTGACCCCGCCTCATCGGCTCATTATCACCTAATTGCTAACTCTCATTTTCACGTTCTACAGTTGTACTTTATAGAGTGTGGAATTACTAGGTTTCCAAAACACTGCGCCAGAATGTCTCAGCTTAGCAGTTACCGGGTGCTTCCGGAAATCTGGGATGTTTAAGCGTTTGTTTTTCAATCGAAGCTCGATAACCATTGTTTTGCAAATAAAATACAGAGAAAAATCTTTTGCCTCAGGGGACTTCAACGAAGTATAAAAACGTCTCTTGAAAAACAGCTGCATGAATTTTTTATCAAGTTTTTTAGAAAGAATGTTTAATCTTCTTTTGATGGTGAGACACCTTTGGAGGTAGTATATTCTTATGAAGATTCGTGTTTACGATGTAACATTTTATTTTAGCCGATTGTTTAGGAACACAGCCGTGTTTGGCGGGCATTCACGGACAGATCACCAAAGAAAAATAACTTGAAATAAAAATAGAATGAACGAATCTGTTTTGTCTGAGACAGAAAATAAATTCATAAAAATTTAGTGCCCTATTCCACAAAAACAGATGTGTTTTTTTTAGAGAGTGGAAGCCCCGTACTATCTGGCATGCCGAAAGAGGAAAGTTTGTACAAAATCGCTAGGCAACAAGATGTAAAAAAGAGATACTAAAACGTCTTTATCGTATATCAAAGTTTGTATCTTAACGTAGTAAACTACACAGTTTCTTGCCCAGTACTGAGGTACTTCATCCTAGAAACTTAAAAAAATAAAATAAAATAACGAGCTCAGCCCAATCTGTAGTAATGTTTAAAAGTCGCCGTCAAGTCTCGAAATAGTTTTATAATTGCGATATCGAATACATTCTAACATAAATATTTTATCTCGACCTGAAAGGCTAAAAAATAAAATACTAATTGAGTATTATTTATTTCACAACAGCAAAAGAAATTTGTGTCGCGTTCCTATTGGAAAGAAATAATAATTAGTTGCTCGATAATACAGCATTGTGAGTTACTGTGGTTCAATTGCTTTCTTTCTTGGAAGAGCCAGGTGTCACGGGGCATCGTACTCGAAGTTGAACTACTTTTGCACAATTTATGCTATTATCGATTCACAAATCTTTGAAGTTTATGAAGCGGTCTAGAATTTTTTTTAACAAGCCAATCATAAATTCTGAAAGGCAAGAAAATATCTAATGCTGTTAATACAATTTCCAAAACATTTTCAAAGTTTTAATTGTATTAACTGATTCATTTTTCATACTTTTTTTTTACTTTGCGCTTTCCATCTCTTGTAAAGTTGTTGAAGTAAATAGGTTATCCCCTGATCATTATAACACTGACAAGTTGTCTCCCAAATCCCGCGTGGATTACCACAAAAGCGTGGCCGCGTGCGTCAGGATCTTTTCGCTTTGTTATTCAAATGTACTGTCATAAAACAAAAAGTTGATAATATACCACGCGTACTCCTAGAGTTCAATAGTGTTTTACCGTACATCTCATATAGTAGTCTTGTAAGAGGCCGTTTACAGATCTTTCTCTTTGCAATAACAATTTTAATTTATTACACAAAGGTACAAAATGAAATTCTCGTTAAAATCTGCTTTTTTTTAACCTGGGGCGTTATGGAAGCACCCTTGCGTTTAATGTAAACTTGGGGCGAGTCCACAAATATCAGAAGTTTCCTACTGAGCGATATAGAATATAGCACGCGTTTTAAGTTTAAAACGCTTTTTCCTCAGCTAGTAATTTCACACTGGGTTGTTATCATATTAAATGGCTTTGCGATTCACTTTTATTTCGATACGGCAGGGGTTTTGGTATTTGAAAAGCTTCTCTCATCATAATTTATCCGGAACCACTTTGCAAGAATTAAACAATGTTGTCACACATTTCGGGCCGCGATCTTAGAAGATGGCTTTTTTTGGCACGATTTTCACACTGTTGCAAAGTCTTTGTCTAATTTAGATTGCATTCAAACAAATCGCGGGCAAACAAAGGCGAGAGTTTAGGGCTAAATTGCAGCATTGTCGGGGGGTTTTGTTTATCCTGAAAAACTCCTACCCACGTGGAAAAAAGAGGGAAGGCGACAAGTTTTACATTGATAAAGAAAGGCACGAAGAAGCATTTAAGTTAAAAAATAAAGAAACATCACACAAGAAAACATAAACCGCGGGTTATTGTTCCAAATGTAGGGGAGTGAATTTCGTCAATCGGACCAAAGCTTATCCGGGCTTTACGAGAATTTTAATAAAACGTCGCCGCATTTGGCAATTTGTCGCCTTTTAAATAAAAATTGAATCAGCCACACAGCACCTTCATTTCATCCAATTAAATTGTGTTATAGATGTACGTATTTTGCCGAAAACAAGTTTAGTACAATTATTAAGTACAGCCAACCACCTGGCGGGGTGAAGGGGTCATCGATGACTGAAAGCGAAGCGGCGCGTGGCCATTCGCGTGGCATGCGTTCTCGAACAAGATGGTCTTTAAAGACGAACAAAATCATGATTGGCAGGTGAATTTTGGGTGCCCCATTGAATTTCCAATAGCTAATTAAACAGCTCAGTCGTTCGAACAAAGCATAGTTTTCCCTTGGTCGCGTGTCGGTCTTATTTCAGTTGATACTCTATCAAAGAAAACAGAACAAGATATTTTCTTAATTGCAGGTAGATATGCAGTTTTAATGAGGTGCGGGTACCTGTGGGCGCGAAGAGCACAAATACGTTTTTTATTGACTACAAAGTCCGACATCGCTTTTTCATTTCGAGATTCAAGACCATAGAAAACTTAGCAAAATGTGAGTGATATCATTCCTTTTTTTTCTTGAGTTCTTTCTTAACATTTTGATTTAGAAAACCTTAAACAAAAGCATTTTAAACGCAGCTGATGTGTATTTGTCATAACAAGCAAAATTAATCTCATTATGAGCGATTATTTACGGCAAATCACCGCGAAGTGCGTCTAAATTAAAAGATAACATTTAGATAAAAACATTGCGCCTTATTTTCAGATTTAGAAACGAGGTACGAAATTCCTAACACTTTGCCCTGGGTGTAAAACCAGACCCTTTTCTACAGATCAAACATTGTCTTCCCATCTAACACCTTTCAAGCATAAAGAGATCGAAGTGAATAGTTTTTCGTCGGCCAGGCTACGTGTTTCAATGACGATACAGAATAAAAACACTTTTCGGGGTAAATATTTACATAGATTAATTTCCCTACGCGCCGACTAATAGAGCGATTATATTGCTTCTGACAATAACGCATGTAAACACTTCAGTGAACCAGAAATAAAGGCAACCACGCTGTTATTTTTAGGTAAGGAGAGAATCAAACTTGTTTAATAAAATACTACTGAGTGTGTGCTACTGTATTCTCTATAAGTGTACATTTTAACCATAGAGATATACTCGCCCCCTTGACCAATTTAATCGGCAATTTCTTTCGTCTCAGAAAATTAAACACTCCATTCATGCATGCATTTTCAAATTTAATTTTCGTAGGGCAAGACCTTGGCTTGAGAGAGACCTAATTAGCTTATCTTATCAAACGTTCTTAATTGCTCGCTCAAGAAGCGAGCCGCGTGTGCTGGCTTTGTCTTGTGGCACGTGCGCATTAAAAGCAGATGAGGCGAGTTTCGGACATTTTGAATTGCCTCAAGTAGCTATTCACCATAGTATAGTTGTACTTAATTTCAAATTTGGGAATTAATTTATCACTGTCAATTAACATGATTAGACATATGATGAACGAGGTTTTGAGAGACTTACTAAGCTTTAGACTAAAGGGAAAAAGAAAATTCAAGCGGGTTTTCAACAAGAAGTCTTCTTTTATTTCAACAGACCACAATAACATTTTTTTCTGCTTCACTAAACTAAGCAAGGTTCAACCGTTCTGATCTTGATTTTGCTGCTATTCTATTAAAATGTATTTATCTAGGTAAGAAGACAGAGAACGTCGAATTAAACTTTTACCCATGCTTTGATCTAAGAAAGAAGCGACACATTCTTACAAAATTATCTTTTATTTCTTCTGCTTTAATTCATTTGGATATGTTCTGTCATTACAACCTCTCCTTGTTTATCACATGTGCAGATGCTGCAGTTTCAGGACCTTCTCCCAATTTGTGTCTTACATCTTTTACTGCTAATAGTAACTAAAGTAAAAATTTTGAAAAAAAATTCAAATTTCTTTTCTCAAAATCCCAAGAAAAAAATTGTAGTATGCAAGGTTCAGCCGAAGAGAATTCATTTGAATGGTAGCATCATGAGATTTCTTCCACAAATAGAAAAGTTCGAATGGCAAATGATGCCACCATAACTCGGGCAAGAAGTTCATGAAGGGAGGGGTTGATAAACCAATAGTGTACCTTAAGCTCAAAAATGGATAGGCTTTTATATGTACAGTATCTCTGTTAGGACTCAAACAGGTTTTTGTTGCTGACTATTTTTATGATTTCTTATTTTGTTCCTTGATACGTTTCAGTACAGTTTAGGTAGGCAAACTTGATATTCACTCGGCAACCCTGCGTATATTATGTTTGAGCGGTAAA